CTCGATATTATTGGCCTCAGATGTATGAAGACATTAAAGAATATGTGAAAACGTGTGATTCTTGCCAACGAAGAGGAAGACCAAGCAAGAATAATGAATTACATCCTATACCTCCTCACAGTCCCTTTTATCAAATTAGAATTGATTTTATTGGCCCTTTACCAATAACTCCTCGAGAAAATAGATATATTATCGTAGCTGTAGATATGTTTACTAAATGGCCAGAAGCAAGAGTTGTTGCAGAAGTTACGGTTAGCCAAGTTGCTTTATTTGTCTATGAAGAAATTATTTGTAGACATGGATGTCCTATGAAAATTCTATCAGATAGAGCAACACATTTTAATAATGCTATGATAAAAGAATTAATGGAAAAATTTGGAATCAGACATCATAATTCAACACCATATCATTCTCAGATGAATGGACAAGTTAAAAGATTTAATAAAATGTTGAAAGAATCTTTAGCAAAAATTATACAAGAACAGACCGAATGGAATCTACATATAGCTCCTGTATTATTTGCTTATCGTACTGCTCAGCAATCCACTACTAAAATGACTTCATTTTTGTTAACATATGGATGAGAAGCAAAATTACCCCTGGATGATCATATTGATCAGGAAAATAAAAATTTGATAGATCGGATTCGACAAATCATAGAGAAATTTTCAGATATTAGAGAAAAGGCCAAACAAATAATGATCGCTATGAAAAATAAACAAAAGACAGCTCATGATAAACATCTGACTAAATCAATGTCATTTGACATAGGGCAAAAAGTCTTGTACTTTGATGCTGCATGAATCAATCAATTCTCAGGAAAACTAGAGCCAAAATGGAAAGGACCCATGAGATCTTGATCAATGGATCTTATCGTTTAAGAGAAGAAGATGGACATTTTCTTGCCAAACCAGTAAATGGTTATCTACTAAAAAGTTACTTTGATCGACGGCTATGGGAACCACAAATAGTGATCGACATATGAGAAAATATATAAGATATTATTATTCTCTATTAGCATCAGTTTTGCAAAAATGGATGAAATTTTACAAGATATAACACGAATGGAGCCATTACAGATTCAAGAATATTATCGTTCATATCAACCTACAGATGATCCTAGAATAAAAATGAGAATAATTCAAAGAAATTATCGACGAACAAAAATAGCCAGAAATAGAATCGGAATGTTAATAAATATGTATTTCATCGGAGACCTTTTAGACTCTTTAGAAGATATTAACTATAAACGGGCTAAATTAGTTTTAAGTCCATATCAAAGAGAAACTGCTGTAAAGTCTTTTACGATATTTCAGGAATTAGGAATATCACAACTTTATCAGACTAAAGTTTTAACCACTTGGCAAATATAAAGATTAACAAAAAGTAAAATACAGGATCTTATTTTGAAGGCGAAATCCTTTCTCACTACTACGTTCAAAATTCAAGTTGGAGGAGGATTATCAACGAAAGAAATTGCAACTCCAAATATCACGTGGGATATGTTAATCAATAATGATCTCACGTTAGATGATGTCATTGCTGTGCCAAACAGTGATCAGCAGTAATTTTTGTTTCTTCTATTACGTTTGTTCTCTCTGTATTTTCTATACAGACTGTTTATTCTGTTTATTTTGTTTCATCCATAATTTCTTTAACGTCTGAAATTTATTTTATTTCTTTTTGTTATTTTTATAGTTTATATTATTTTTGTTATTTTTATTATTTTAAGTATATTTTTATTAGAATATATATCTATATTTAGTTAATTTATAGCATAGCAAATAGTTAGCTGAAGCAAATTCATTTTATATAAATAGAATAGCTTTTGCTTAAGTTGAAAATTAACTTATTTGTAAGTTTCATACGAGTTTCAAAATATAAATAAAGGAATCAATTTAAATCTACATAAACTACTTTTCCCTTCAACGTTGTCCTTCATCTAAGATTGTTGTGATACACTACACTAACTTGCTATTGAGTTCATCATTACAAGTTTGATTAACATATCTTAAATTCTAAGACGTGATAAATTGCCGAGTTGATTCAAGTATAACGGATATCTGTAGGACTTAGAGACAATCCTAAGGTCAGAAACTCCAATGTGTAGAATCAGCTGCCGCAGCCTTTCAACTTAGACGTTAAGATAAACGAAAATGAATCTGGTGACAATATGAAAAAGTAGCTGCAAATATTATTGATGAGGTAATTGGCGAAGCATTGACTGCTAGGTATGATTATTATTTTTTAATTTTTTTTGGATTTTTTAATTAATTTAAGAATAAGATAATTAACTATAATATAGGATCAAATACGAATCAACGAGGTTCATCTTTCTTTATCATTTTGATCTCGAAAAGATTTATGACAAATAATAATAATTCATTCACAAAATTTTTCAAAATCCATATAAAACCGTTTTTATATTACCTATCTCCACAATCTATCAATGCTTTTCACATATTGTCATAAGCCTGTTATCACTCTGAATCATAATAAATGTGATTTGTGGTCTCTTCATTTTGAAAAAAAAGACGTTTTAATAAGTGGCTTATTCCACATAAGATAACATCTGATTGTAAAATCACATATATTCATAAAACTAATGAATGGAAATTTTCATGAGTTTATGAGATGCAAAAACAGCTCTGCAAAATCTAAGCAGATGGTTCTGTTCATGCAGTTTCCATTGATTCTAATGTTTGTATACCCTTCACATGGTACTTTCCTACTAAAGGTGTAGGTAAAATTGGCCAATATAACATTAGACGAATTATTTATTTATGCAAATATATGGATAATCTTCATTCTTTAAGGGATAAGCTGGCTTCCTCTAATTCAAAACGTAAAAATAAAAGACCTTGTGACTTGATAATGCAATTTCTCGGATGATACGAAAAATCAAACATCTGCAAAGTGAAATCCATAAAAAGAGTGTTATATTTTTACTTGCGAATTTGATACCATTATCATTCCTCCTTTTGAGGTATCAAATATGGTAAATCGAAAAGCAAGAAATATAACGCGAAAATCTGTTCATAAAATGCTCACTATCAATTTCGCCAACGTCTGGTAGCTAAAGCTAAAGAATTAGAGGTCCATGTTATTATCCAAAATGAGGCCTATACTTCAAAAACTTGCAGCTGGTGTGGGAGTGTTCAAAAAATAGGAGGATCTGAGATGTACAAGTGCCGAAGTTGTGGAGCTGTAATGGATCAAGATGAAAATGGTGCTCGGGGAATTTTTCTCTGGGCTTTGCTTGATGGAGCCTTGATTCTCTCCGGAGATCATGCAGGAAATAATAGTAATACTTAGTATTACCTATTATTGATGTATTACAATCCATCCGCAGATAAAGTGTATATATATTAGTTTAATTTTATGCAAAGATAATGCCGATCTGTAACGTTTTGGAAACAATGGTTTCCACAGGTATTTTCCTCAGTGCATAAGAGGCGCAGCAATTTTATTGAGATTTTTTTTTTTTTTTTTGCACACACATTTACCGTCTATTATTTGTTTCAACCAAGTTTAAATCATAAAGTAAGTAGATCGAACCCTTACCAATTTAATGATTTGTACTGTTTAATCGTTAACGATCTTAATAATGAAAAAAAATCTTTCTCAAAAATGGTGATACATCAATCAATGCATAAAAATACGACTTACAAAAAATTGATTCGTTTCGGCGATATTATTTTATGCTGTTTTTAGTAATATGAAATTTTGTTGTTTGCCCGATTTGTAGACACAAAAAAAAAACACATATGCACAAAAGTGTTTTTTTTTTTCCAAAAAGAATATTATTATTTGTATCAATGACACATTCTCTTTCAAGAATGAAATTATGACATTTTAGGTTAGTAATTATTTCGGTAGAACTTTTCCGTATGATTTGGCGTAGTAAATCATAAATAACATATAAATGCATTCTATTTATTGGTTCAAAATTTAATTTCAAAAATTTTTTTTTTAAAAAAGAAAAAAAAAATGGACGTAACTACCGAGAAATTAATAAAAAATCTTCAAATAGTAGAGGTAGAAGGAGAAGAAGATGAAGAAGAAGAAGAAGGAAGTTTTATAGTTATTGAGAAAGAGAAAGAGAAAGATAGTCATATAGTATTAAGTACTCATGAATTATTGTTGAATATATTTTGTTCGTTAACTATAAAAAATATTTTAAAAATGAGGCTCGTATGTAAATTATGGAATGATGTCCTACAAGGTATAATATAATTTCCAAGATGAATATTTGATTTCCCATCTTTTTTTATTAATCAATCATTCCACTTTTCCGTCCTTCACCATAATAGATGATCATATGTGGAGAAAATTGTTTGAAACTAAATATAATAAAGTGTCAAATCCTTTGTTCCTCAATGATCATTCATATAAATCCATTTGTCTATTCAAAGAATTCAATGAGAATAAGTTATGGAATAACGCTTTATCGATCATAAAAGATCAAACGCCATCACAAAAACCTCAAAAATATAAGGTATTCGGGGAAAAGGTCTCGACAAATTCATATCCGTATGATATAATAAATACCAATATAATTGAAAATGGTATAGCGATAGCATTCGTCGCGCAACGACCGCTGATTCGAGACGATGACGCAAATGGTGTAGTGAGGGTGTTGAATGAAAGGCCAACGTTAAACAATACCGATTTTAACATGATACCAAACCTCGAAGTAGAAGTTTATTTAAAAATCATTAAATTTGATGATAAAGAAGATAAATTTGACGTTAGGTTATGTGATACGCAACGTTTGACGGTGACTCAAGAAGATATTGGTAGAAATGTGAATTGGATCAAAAATATGATTCGTGTGGAATTTGGTAAAGAACATTACATGTATTCCTTGGACGTAGCATTGGGTACTTGTAAAATATTTTCGTACACAAAAGAACATTCCGTATGCAATTTTAATATTGACATCCCTCCAATATGTGACTTGTCATTATCGAATAATTTGTTGGTGGTGAGAACGGAATCTGGTAGATTACAAGTTACTACAAGTTCGGTTATACGGGATCATCAAGAACAAATCGTTGATTTGGCCGATGATAAAAAATTTAATATAATCCTAAGTGATGTTGCCATGTTACCATCTCAATCAAATTCATTCGGCTCATTTGCTAATCATTTTAAGGCTAACATACTTTCATATTATTTGGATAAAAATGATTTCATGATTATTAATTATGTTAACACGAATGATGAGAACGCGTTTAAATGTTTGGACCTTAGAAAAATTTCGAATCGTTCGTCTTTTGATGAGGGTTTTGATTATCGGAAACATGTTGTTGAATACTCTGAAATATTACCCGCAAAAGCACATAGTTTCGCGGTCAGATGGAAAAATCAAAATAATGATACTTATGAACATTATTCTTCCTTTCAACAACAACAATCCGATGCGATGATTCAGGATGATCTAATGCCAGAGGTTATGATCACGTGCTCTGGGGGACTTGTCTTGATTTATCGTCCGGTGGTACAAAAAAGGAACTCAACTTTTGTAAGTCGAGAAAAGATAAAAACAAAGTTGACTTTAGTGTGGAGGATAAGTACAGGATTAAATTTTTGTAAAATGATCGATACCTCATTATGGACCAAGGATAATTTCCCTACAAATGGGGATTGGCTATTTTTGTCGGCGAAAAAGTTGAAGGGTGACATGAAAGTTCCGGTCGTGTTGCAACTCCTATTACCAAAATCAACGAGTTCAAATTCCAATAAAAAGCAACAAGAAATTTCATACGGATACACTTACATTGACGGTCATAATCCAAACGAAGTAAAAACTAGATTTTCCAAGGATCCTATTACGTATACTCGTCTTGTACATAGAATCATTTCTGATAAAATCCCTCATACTGGTTTAATAGTACAATTATTACCTCTCCTTCCTCATTCTCTTCTCATAGTATGTCAACGTAAAGAACCGGATTTGATTCGACCACGCCCAAAGTTTACCATGTACATTTATGATTATCATACGTCTTCAATCACCCCAATCCCTCAACACGTTGCTCCTTTCTTTTATTTATTACCTTCCGGTTATTTTTACATGGCTAATTTCTCAAAGGATGACATCGTGTTCGTTCCGTTACCTAACTTAAGATCCCGCTCTTTTAATCCTGCTTTAAGTTCAAGGCTGGTTAAACCAAAATTGGTTCCTGATGGTCCTAATAGGTTAAAGGTTACTCGTGGAACCGGTAATAAACGTGTTAAAAAGCCTAAAGGTGCTAAAATTGATAAACGTAAAAGAAATCAATCTAGCAAAATCGCTTATTCTCCAAGAAATTATGATATCGATTATGATGATGACTATGATGATGATTTTAATATTATTGAAGAATATGAATCGGATGATTACGTTTATGATGGTTTTGAACAATATTGACAACAAAATCTTTTAATTTAAATGTGATGATAAGGTTTAGGAACATTCAATATAGATTAATTTGAATGCATTAATGTCAAAAAAAAAAAAAAAAAATCTAATTCATAAATAAATTTCCAAATGAAATAAAAAATTACATAATAAATAAATATTACAAAAAGTTATTATTGAATAATTAATAAATAATTTGTTTTTTCACTAGACAAAAATACATGAAAATTTCAAAAAGGAAATTTAAAGCTTTATAACTCCAAAAAATCCAACGGGAGTTCCATATCTAATGCTACAATTTTAGAATTTAAACATCGACGGATGTTCTTTTTCGCATTTCATTTTCATATTCTTGAATGCAAGTTTCTGATGAATAATTAATTAATGCATCCTGATTAGCGTTATTTGTACTAACCCAAGTAAAAGTTTCATAGCATGAACAGCATCTCCTAACAAGTTACTCGACTACTTGTCCAAGTGATGGATCGATATTTCTTCGTCGAGTCGGATTATAAGTTTTAAATTTATATTTTTCTGGATCATTTGATGCTATTTTAGGACTAAATCCCATAATTCTGATAAAAATTTCAGTCATGTTGCATTCTGGTCCAAATTTTCGAATCAACTGCTTGACTCGTTCAATAATTGATAATGAATCATTATCGTCAACTTTGAATTTATCACATTCATCATCATCTAGTTTTGTGGGGTAACAATAACCTAACGTTGCTTTATAATGAAGTTCATTGGATTCGTTTTTATCCTTGTAATCTGGTTCTTGCTCGTTTGGAATTAGATGAAACATTATCAATGGCGAATCACCATGTAATCCAAGAGATTTTGCATTCAATTATTTCCTTACGACTTGATCTGTATAACTTAGACACAATAACATGACTATAACATTTGTTAATCCATAATCGAAAATTTGTTTAATTCATTCTCTGCTTTCTAAATAAGAAGAAATAAAATTGATTATCAGATTATTAGAGCATTATTTTATTCTATTTGAACCAAGAACTTTAAAGCTTACCTGAAGAGTTAATACTATCTGCACCAATTAAAATATCACAAAATTCTTGTTAATCATCAAATTCCTTTTTTTCTTCGTACCTAATACATTTTTTATCTCAATGAACCAGTACATCTTTTAATAATACATCTCTAAATATCATTATAAGAAATTATCAGTGAATATTAACTGTAATTTTTGCAATTTCGTAAAAGTCTTTAAATTGTTTAAATTATGGTTTTGATAAGGTATTTCCTTTAATATCGATTATTGAAACATCATGGCATTCTACATCAGGGAGTAGATCTGGTAAAGGTTTGAAGATGCAATTCAAATCCTGAAACCATTCAACGCTATATGGTATCTTTGCCACCAGTCTGTTATTACATGAAATAAAAAATTTTCTTACGAAATTGTACATTTCTCTTTACCTTTATCTTCCGGACCAGATTTCTGTTTCGAAGATTTTATATTGAATTCTTTTTTATCCTTGTTCTATACTTATGTATGTAAAATGTATAATAAATGATAAAGAGCAATTCTTTCAGGACCTGCAATGATAATAATAATTTTTGGAATTGTTGCAAGTTGCAATTTTTTTAATTCAGGGGTATTTATACAAAAATTTTCTTAGCTCTTTGTGATATTATATCAATTAACAAAGGTCAATATCTTACTTTAAGTTAATATCGTATGACTAAGAAGTGATGTTCAGTTTTTGTAATTTAATAACGCTAATTCTATTATTTACGAAATAACGAAAATAAAATGTTTTTTGTAATTACGAAAATAAATAAATTTTTTTTTTTGTTATTTTTATTATTATTAATATTATAATTTCCTATTTCCTAATACTAAAAATTTAAATATGAATTAATAAGTAAATTATTTTATAAAGTATATAATTGAAATTAATGTAAAAGTATCAATCTTGATAGATTTTTGGTATGCTTCTTGATAGATATCGTTATAAAACTGAAGTGTGGTATATTTTTTGATAGAGTGTTTATTACTAAAAATAAATATTACTATGTTCTATCTTTCTTTAATCACATGAGTGGATACTTTTACAATTTTTAAAAAAAATTTTTTTTCATAGTCTTTTTCATCAAAAAGACGCGAAATTTCATACATTACTTTTTATTTTTTAAAATTTTTTATAGCTACTTGTTTATTATATAATTATATTTATTTTTTTATATTTTTGCAGAAAAATGCGTCAAAATACAATATGTTTCGCTATTTACACAAGATAATATTATATTTTATTATTATCATATTTAGAAATTTTTTTTATGTAAAATTGTATACTTTGAAACTCATTTGTATAATTTTTCATTAATTGTTTTGTAATAAAAAAACTATTTTAACACATTTTATGTAAATGAAAAAAAAAGACTGAAATTTTTTTTGATAATAGCATATGACCCAAAATTGGTAATATATTTTATAAGGCAGATGACTGCTCCTCTAATCTATCAAGAAATGTATCATATCTATCAAGAAGCATACTGAAAATCTATCAAGATTGACACTTTTACTCCTGAGCCTTAATAACATCATGAATCCTTTATGACATAGACTGAATTAGATTAATACAAGTTTTAACATTAATTCTTTTTAGACCTGCTGTATCTTATTTCATAAGTCCTCTTTACTTAAAATTTGTCTAGAAATAAGTCTAAGCCAATGGTCAACCTCATTCTATAAATGCTTAATGGATTCAGATCCAGGATTGGGGTGACCAATCTAGAACCATCATCTTGTTTCTCTTAAGCCACTGTTTTGTTGAATTTGCCATGTGTTTTAGATCTCCATCATGTTGAAAAATAATGTTTTTAATAGTAAATCCTGTATTTTGATAATGCCTATTAAATTTTCATGAAGAATTTATTGATATAAGTTAACATATATAATGCTATCAATCTTACAATAATCACTAATACTACAAAATGTAAAACATTCTCATATTATAATTGACTCACTTTCAAATTTTACTGTAGGTTTAATATGGTAGTCTTTTATTAGTTCACTAGAATATTTCTAGTAATACTGCTTCTTATTAGAACTAAAAATCTTGAATTTTTGATTCATTAGATCATATTACTTTTGACCAATCCTCAGCAGACCAATTTTCATATTTTTTTGCAAAATTATATCAAGATTTTTTTATGTATTTTATTAATATATGACATTATTTAACCCTTATTACTATTTTATTATTTTAAAATATATGGTAAATAGTAAGTATTAAAATTTTAAAATTTTTTCCTTATAATCAATTTTGTATTTTAATAGCTGATGAATACCTTCAAAAAGTAATTAAGTTAATAATCCTTCTTTATATTAGTTTATTTATAATAGGTATCTTGCTAAGTCTTTAAGAGAGTAAGTTTTAGCTATCTTTTTCTAATATAAAAAACTGTAGAAAATGCAATTTTTTAAGCCTTATTACTTCTTTGTTATATATTTATTTTGTAATAAAAGAAGAATTTTGCTCTTTTATTAGGAGTTTATAATTTTTTTTTGTTACTAATTATTTATTAAATAATTATAACATAATAAGAGTTAAACAATAAATAAAAAAATGCCTTTTATAAAATTTTTATGTAATACAATAATAAGAATAGTAACATATATTACTTAATATTATTTTATTATAAATATTTATTTATTTACTTTTAGATAAGATCACATGTATATCAATCAATTTTTTTTATAGAATTAATATATCAATATATTGTATTAATTGTAAAGTATTAATATATTAAATAAAAATAATTAATAAAAAAATAAATTTTATTATTGCAGTAGTTTGTTTTATATAAAATATAAAATATATATATTTAAGTGATTTAAAATTCTCATTTTAAATAAAAAAAATATAATACTAATTATCTCATTTTTATGACGATTATACTTATTATTATATAATGCTATAAAAAAATTTACTTATTGTATAATTTATAATGTTTTCAACTTTTGTAATTCACTTTTATAGAATAAACACATTAATCAATAATTCTTTTTTGTCATATACTAAAATGAATCATCAAACCTTTTTTATTAGCTTAAGTTTAATAAAAACTAATCTTTAAATCACCAACATATAAGTATCAAAAATTTTTTAATAACTATTTATATAGTAATATAGTTAAAATAGGAAATAGTACACTTAACATATTAATATTTATAACAAAATAGTAAAATTAAAGATAAAAATAAGAATTAAAATTAAAAATATTATTAGAAATTATCTGATCATATCATATAATCTATTTAATATACAAATAATAAGATCAATATTTTTTACACTTAGAGAATATTTGACTTTTTTGCTTTATTTATCCTACTATTTATTCAGTAAATCTTATATCAAAGATTTTTTATTAATGTATTAATATAAAGAAAGATAGCAGATAAAATAGTAAAAGTCAAAAAAAAAAAAAGCTTATAGAGTTTGAGCAGATTAATAATATCTTGATAAATCTATAATTTTAATATTATATATATATAAAAATAGAGAAAGTTTAAGCTATAATCAAATCTAACAAGGAAAGAATTAATAAATTAAAATTATGCTAAAAAAAAAAAAAAAAAAGATAATACTGTATGATAAATCTGATTATCCTTTATTTTTTTTTTGAATATTCAAATTTATACAATCATATTTATAATTTGATTAAATTTAAAGCGGCTGATAAATAATGATAAAAAGAGGTAGTTAAAATACGAATCACTAAAAATTTATGTAAAATGCTTAAAGAAAATTATAATATTTATATGATAAGAATAATATTGAATAATTATTTGCTAACTTGTTAATCTAATTTATTGCTATAAAAGTATATTATTATTTGGTATAAATTATAGTAGCTAATATTTTATATACTGAATTACGAGATTATCTTAATAGTTATTATTATTTTTATATTTGTTAAATATACAAAGTAATTTACTATTATTTTTGCTGATAATTCTGTTATCATTTTTTAAGATGATAAAACAAAGATAGGTCTTAGGATATCTGCTATAGATTGAATTTTTTGTATATTACAATTAGTTTATGAGTCTGTTAATATTAAAGATGATCACCATAATTAAAAAAATAGCATAATTGAGTTGCAACTTATAATAAATTAAATTTCTTTATAGCACAATTAATTTGCAACTCAATTGAAATTTAAAAATAATTATAGAAATCGTTTTTAGTTAATATGACTGGTTATGATTTTTCTCTTAGAAGTGATTAAAAATTAACTTTATAAGTTTATCTTATGATTAAGCTAAATAAGTTAAATAATAAGTTATAAACTAGATAATTTATTATTTTTGTATAATTTAATGATTTCTTGATGCATTTTATTCATATATATGTAAAATCTTGAAAGACTTATCATAGATTTTTAATATAACGATATATTGAAAACTAATAAAGATATTTGATCTAATTTTGATTTTATTGGTAGATAAATAACTGGACAAGAATATAAGATACTAAAAAATATTAAAATATATTGTTAATTTTTTCAGAAGTTTAACCTAAATTATTTAATAATATTAGAACAATTCAAGTATAATTTAGTAGAAAGAGAATAGTAATACTTTATGAAAAATTAGCAGATATTATACTACTAATTAATTATTTTAGATTATATCTAAATATACAAGGCAAAGTGATTAATCCAAAATTAATCCTTTAAAATTTTTAATTTGTTAGAGAATCACTCTGTGATATCTAATATTAAAATTTAATTTTAGAAAAAATATAAATGTATAATATGGGGCCTTTG